TTTTTTGAGACAGAGTCTTGCTCTCTTGCCTAGGCTGGAGTGCAGTGGCACCATCTCAGCTCACAGCAACCTCTGCCTCCCAGGTTAAAGCAGTTCCCTGCCTCAGCCTCCTGAGTAGCTGGGATTATAGGCACCTGCCACCACACCCAGGTAATTTTTGTATTTTTCATAGAGACAGGGTTTCACCATGTTGACCAGGCTGGTCTTGAACTCCTGACCACAGGTGATCCACCTGCCTTGGCCTCCCAAAGTGCTGGATTACAGATGTGAGCCACCACACTTGGCCACTTTCATCCCTTTCTGTCCTCAGTTCTTGTGACCTCACTCTCTAAATGTAATTAATGTAACCTTTTTTTTTTTTCCTTGAGACAGAGTCTCTCTTTGTCACCCAGGCTGGAGTGCAGTGGCATGATCTTGGCTCACTGCAACCTCTGCCTCCTGGGCTCAAGCAATTTTTGTGCCCCAGCCTCCCAAGTAGCTGGTATTACAGGTATGTGCCACCATGCTTGACTAAATTTTGTATTTTTAATAGAGACAGGGTTTTTCCATGGTGGCCAGGCTGGTATTGAACTCTAGACTTCAAGTGATCTGCCTGCCTCAGCCTCCCAAAATGCTGGGATTACAGGCATGAGCCACCATACCTGGCCATCTCATAACTTTTGTTTATCTCAATATTCAGAGTATACAGTGTTATTATAATTAAGTACATATTACAGCTGAGATACATAAAATCCTTTCCCCTCTTTGTATAACATTTGGTTTCTTCTACAGTTTAAGAAAATACAGAACAAAGCTAATGCTCTGAACAGCATTTTAAGGAGTAGTGATGTGTAGTTCTGAGGAAGCTATGTTAAGAGGAAGCATCTCATCTCATATCTTCACTTGAAATAATGTTTCCCTCTGAGATAGTCTGAGTCAAGAGATAATTCTACTTTACTAAGATAGTCTATTCACTCTATATAGAGGTTATATGTAGATGCAGGGATTGCAGGGAACTTTCATTTTCCACCTCCCATAGCCTTAATTTTTAAAATACTTATATTGAGCATGGATTTTTTTATTATAAAAAAATTTCAGATAAATTGAAAAGTAGAAAGCACAGTACAATAATGAATTTCAAAGTTCAATAATTTTTAGAAATGCATTATAGTGTGAGTTTAACTTTTTTATGACTCCTTGACTG